TTTTTTTCATTCTAACACGTGCACCCACCCACCCACACCCACACCCCCACCCACCCACACCCACACCCACCCACACCTACACCCCCACCCACCCACACCCACACCCACCCACACCTACACCAACCCACATCCTCACCCACGCCCACACCCACACACCCTATCTTTATGAGACTAAAGGGCTTGAAAGAACGATCTAGTATATCCATCTATAAGATCTGATAGAAACAAACCATCCAAGAAGAGCCTGTCAAAACCATGAGTGTTTAGTTCCGGTTCCGAACTTTGGTTATTCTCGATAGATCTCTATATCTGCATATCATGTCAATGAGAAGTTTTATTTAAATAGGGATGCATATTTATTTACGATTGATCGAAATGTTTGTCGTATTACTAAAACTGAATGCGATTCAGATCATTCTAGAATGGTTGATTAGTTTCTAGAAAAGAGAAAATAATTACGTATTATTCGACATGAAAAAGATGTTTCATGAATAACTAACACTTTTTTGAATCGACATTTTCACCATGGAAATATTTGATTCGATGTTGATCAGAATTGTCATCACATTTCGATTGTTTTCGACATGGTATCAAAAAATCAGGTAGGTTCGAATGACGATAACGAGCTCGGTGAAGTGGATCTGTTCGCTTGCGACAATTTTCATCATCAGAACACTTCGGAACATCATGGCGTTGATGCATGAGATGCGGTTCAATGGCCTGATTTCGACAAATTTCAGAAAAACGACAATAATGTAAATATTTTTCTGTATGATTTGAATCATATTGATGTAAACAATATCTTGAATCACGACATAGAGGTAATGATGACTTAGGTTGTGTTGTGACTGTACTAGGGTCACGAACAGGTGCCACTGAATTTGTTGCAATTGTACCACGACAGCATAGAGCATTAAAGAAATTCTGAAAATCAGATGGTTTATTTGTTTCCACTTGAGAATTCAACACAGATGATTGTCTCTCTTGTCTTTGACCAGGAGCCCTAGGATGAGCTTTAGTTGATGATATCGGACGACAAGCAGCAGGTGGAGCGTAAGCCGAAGGTATGATTGAATTATGGATCATGGATAAAAGATGTCCAATAAAACTTGGTTTTTTTGAATCCACCTATTCGATTTCGCCCGATCGTCCACATGAACGTCTATTTCAAAATTTTTCTCGGGCAGAACAGTCCAAAGTGAGCAAAAAATGATCTAGTCCTATTAATGTGTCTATAGAAAACAAAAATAACAAGATGACAAAATCCAGAAAACCGTTTTAGGTTATGAAATAAGTGATCAAAGAATTTTTTCTTCTAAAAAATTAATAAGGATCAAGCTTCATAATGAAGAATCAATTTCGCTGATTGAGCTACACATGGTATATTCTTGTGAAGTACCATCACATGATATTGTAGAAATGAAACCAATGAAATTAGTATGCGTTCATTAAAGAATGATGAGAAGACGTTTCAAAGCGCATTTCTGCTCCTGAGCTAGAATGATTTTTTCTTCTCACCGATTGAAGTATCCTTCACTTGTTGTCTGTGATGATGATATTGTTTATCAGTTTTGAAGCACGTAAAGAACTATAGATACGTAGATTATGAAACGTTTCTGATCGATTAGCAAGGTTGGAAAAAAATTTCGAAATAGCCCAAGCCGAACACAGAGTTCGTCAAGCACGATTAGTATCGCCGAACTAAATTGAATACGATTACAGTTGATCCCTACGATCAGTCAATCATAGGAAAAGTATGAAGGGTGTGGGTGTGGGTGGGCGTGGCTAGGATGTTGGTGTGGTTGTGGGTGGTGAGGTGTGAGTGTGAGTGTGTGTGGCTGTGACTGTGGATGGGTGTGGGTGTGGGTGTAGATGTCGGTGTGGATGTGGGTGTGGGTATGGGTGGGTGTCGGTGTGGATGTGGGTAGATGGATATCACTGGTTAGACAACGCCTCGCACCCACATCCCGTGTCCACACCCACACCGAATCCATAAGTTACTTTTACGGGCGTTCTATATGAATGATCTCCTTGCATGTACCAAAGTTGCATGTACGTTAGGTAATAAAGTAGAAGTATCTCTCTTGAAATCTTTGTCAAATGACGGATGTAATTCAGGTTCAGGTTCATGGTTGATTGTCAAATTACGTACGGGAACATCGTGTTTACCGGCACTGATATGAATAAAATCGATTCTAGATATATCTAATTCGCTTTTCGGAAATTGATATTCAATCTTTTCATGATTGTATATACTATTGGGACCAGCATGTGAAAGAATGATCTTGCCTGTGTTATGTTCAATTTTCAAGCAAAATGTAAGAAAATTGTCAGTATTACAACCAAGATAAAAGCGATTCGATTTAGCTTTTAATTGACCTTTATGAACATTGGTTTCATGTTGGAAAGGTATACCATTGTTCAAATATGAGAATGACTCATGATAGTCGTCAGAAGTGGTGGATGGTTGTTCAGCAACGTAACAAATCAGACAATGTAAGTTTGGTTGACTTTTATCGGGCTCTATTTGCTGATTAGCGATAGTCAGCATCATATCACCGTACATGATCTGCCAATAGATATATGTAACCTCGACTTTAACAGATACTTGAGATTTCTCAATTCGATAAAGATAGTATGATTGAGAAACAGTTGTTGGTAGAATGACATGTTGTTCAAAGTTCGAAGCCGCTAATGTAATTACTGTACCTTTTATGTATCGAGGAATTTTGATCATTTGAGTGATCTTATCAAGAATCGTCTCATCTACATTTTTTTCGTAAGCGGCAAGAGTTGCATGATTAGTGGTAGTCAAAGTTTTTCCGAAAGCTCTCTTTGCTAAAGTCTGAGCGGAAGTAGAGAGTGAGTCAAATGCATTCTTTGGCATGTAAATTCGATCGATATAATCCAATGGAATGAGTTGTGGTAAGTGTCCTTCAAATACCAAATGAGAATCGATAGCCATCCAACGTTGCTTGACGGCATCTAGATTAACATCCATCGACTTTTGTTTAAGACCAGTCAAGGCAATCAACTCCATTGCGGCTGCATTCTCGTAGAGAGGCACAGAACAGTGTAATTTGGACTCATGAAAATGTTCGATTCTTTTATCTGAATCGACTGGATCCGTTAACCAAGGACGATTCGTATATGCATTTCCACTATCGAACGAAGTAGCGGCTTGAATTGAAAAGTTAGCGTCCGGATGAAGCATTATCTCTTGTTTGAATATAATCACTATCTCACCATAATAAGTGCCACGATGTGGACCGAGAATGCTGAAAACTTGTTTGTCTGTGCCTAATTTTTGATCAGCATCATAGCCGATTCCCATCGGTTTCGAGTGCAGATTTATTGACGCTTGAGCAATGTTAGATGTGCAACGATGAATAGTCTCTAATTCCTTATGATTAAGAGATGTTTTCAATTTATTTTCCAGTACACTTGTTCGATATTCAAACTCCGGTGGCACTGCTGGTTGAGCTCCAGCAAGCGTTTTTGCTGTTTTGACTTCTTTTTTCTTAAATTCAGTCTCAACAAGTAATTCAATTAGTCCATATGCATCCTTTTTAACTGCTGGGACATCATGACGGCGAAATATCTCACGTACTTCACTATGCTGCATAACTGCGTCAGACACATGTTCAGGACTACTCAGCAATTGCATATAGTAACGACTCATAACATGACCAAGAACAAGAATGGACTCAAATATGTCTTTTCGACATCGATGAACTGGTTGTAAGGCTCGTATCCAATCAAGTATTTCCTCTGCTGGTTTTTGCTGTTTCCAATTTGACGCTTTTACATACTCATTGATACTACGAATAAGTTGACTTTGATTTTTACCAAAATTGACATGTTTGTTAAATCCACTAAACCTAGCTATGCCGATATGAGTATAATTTCTACCGTGACGATACTTTCTCAGATGATTATTGTCCGATTTATCATGACATTCAAAACCTGGAAATTTGCAAAATAAACGAATATCACGAATATCTGGATGAGAATAACTTTCTAAATGATCTTCTTGATCAAGTTTTGAACATTTATTCGAATTTAAACACATTTGACGTGCAATATGGATCGATGTTTCAAGATGAATTGATTCTTGATCATTACATTGTCGGCCGAAACGACAAACATGAGAATACTGAAGACAATGATTTTCCACTTGTGTAGACGCTTTTTGGCCAGTGGGTACTTGTATACGTTGTACATACATTTGACAATTGTAAGGTGTAAAAGGGCATGGTGGGCGAAACGAATGTATTGTATTATCGAGATGATCTTTATCATGAAAAAGAACACAACAATTATCAAATGGACAAATCGATTTGCAATGACGATAGTATTTGCAATGATCGTTATCTCTTCTTAGAAATTTTTGACATTTGAGCGCATCTCGACAAATGGGTAAATGTTGATACGCGACTAAATGTTCACGACGAGTGTCATAGCAATGATCACCATCTTTACAAGATTCAGGATGTTCAAAATCTTGCAAATGTGTCGGATCTTGATTAGTACATTCGCCTCCAGATTTACATTTAGTATGATGAATAAAACAATATGTGTGTACTTCATTATTAATTTGATCACAGGCAACTGTTGGTCTTGAGTTCGGACATAATGATGGATGTGAATAAGTTTGATTATGTTGAGCATCTTTAAGATCATTACATTTAGCTCCATAATTACAAGGTGATCGATCTAATATATAAACATCACTCAATGTTACTCGTCCATCAGTTGACACATGTGCGATACGATTCGGGCCTCGAGAAATATTCATTCGTATCGTTTTCGATGGCTGTACAATGAGACCGTCGAGTATTTCTTGAAATGGAAGAAAATTTCCGTTCGGATTCATTCGATTACCAGTATTGTGATCATCGACAATAGCAAAATAAATAGTATTGAAAAATCCAGCATATTTCAAAATAGTAGATTTAAATAATGATGCAACATGTTTAGGTGGATTTTTAAAAGCCCCACAACCGAGAGCCGATAAGACCAGACAATCATGTTCATGATGATAAGCAATAGCAAAGATATTTTCAATTTTCTTATACGTGCCTGCTGCATATTTATTTGCTAAAATACGATTATTTTTTACGTCGGGTCCTCGATATGCAGCCATAGCAATCGAGCAAACATCGTATAAAGGTTCATCCATATAAGTATAACCATTGTCTTCTGTTTGACGAAATACTGTTATACCAGATGTATAAATTGCACCGAATTCTTCCATTGGATATAGATTAGCATGAAATGGTATCGGTTTGATTGAACCCTTATCTGTACAATAGAGTCGCTCGGATCGATCTTTGTCAGCTATTTCTAAATCAAGACTTTGATAATAATCAGAACGACGAAAAAGATTTTCTTCTTGTGCACCATCGCCTTTCCGATAACCACCACCGGGATTATCTTTATTAGCCATATTTAATAATAATGGTCGACGTCCTTCTGAAACTAATTGTTGATAAATAACAAGACAATCTTCATTGACAACTTTGACCGATGTTGATGGAAATGGTGTATTCATGTCGTTTAGTGAACTTATTTTTTCATTCGATAATTTTGATTTATGATCATAAACAATTGTTTTCAAACGTTCAGATTTTAATTGAACTTCTTTTGTTCCAATTTTATAACTTTTTCTTCGAACAGTTCCAATAGTATTGAGCATGACAGTCACTCGTAACCAATGCCGTTTAATATCATCCTTTTTCGAAAATAGATTATCTTTGGATAATTTATTAAATTGTTCTAACCAATTTTGTGCATTCCATTTATAATGAAAAATTGGATGTTGAGGATTATAGACAAATGTCATTATCGTTGGTTTTTGATCGCGCATCTCTGTCTCATACCAATTTTCAGCATCGATTTCACAATTTTCGGGATTATTTGCTGGACTATGAGCGTCAATCTTCATTATTTTATCATCAATACGTAAAACTCCGAACTCTAAACATTGGCCATATGCTTCCTTATCATCGAATTCAACGATGAGGTGATCATTGATATGCTTCGATGCACTAAAACGATTTTGAAATAATCTATGATTGAGAATAAGATCGATATTGAAGTCACGTGGTACGGGTGAAACAACTAATCGATAGGCTAATTGTATTTTCTTCGATATATTTCGCCCATCGATTGTTAGAGAACCATGTTGAATCCATTTGCGTGCCTCTGGACTTGCCAAGATAAGAGCATTCGCTGTTTGTTTGTTGAATTGGACATAAATAGAAGATGGTAGAACTTCACTGATACCCATCCCAGCAACAATCGCTGTTAAAATTTTCGTTTCATCAGTATTCGGTGGTAGATCTTCAAGAAAACTGCATTCAGCACGAGGATAGATGGTAGCGGATGTTTTCTCGATCTTAAAAGTGGATGCATCTGCTGCACGACTCAATTCGTCTAGGTTGTGGGCAACAATCCGAAGAATATTCGGAAACTCTTCGGAGCTCTTCTCCACTCGAGGAAGTTTAGTTGTCTTATATAATTGCATCCAACGTTGAGCTACTTTGTCAGTGGATGGAATCGTTGTACCGTTTCGATTAATTACAATATAAGACAAAAGTTCAATACTATCACTAAATGAAATGTTAATATTTCGTTGCGGATCGAGTACCAAAGATTGTACATTCAAAATCAAACGGTTTCTATCTTTTTCATTTGACAAATGAATCAGAGCAATGGCAAGTTTCGGATAACATTCAACTCCGATCGCCTGAACGTCAGTAGCATCCGATAAACGAGTTTGAATCATTTTTTTGAGGTCATCCTGCGGAATACCCGAAGGAAGATCTGAAACGTATACAAGTTCAGGCTTGGAAGGCTTTGCTTGCAGTACTGGATTGGCAGAACTATTTGATTCACTACCTTTTACGGTCTTCAAATTCAATTTGGATGCATTTGATGCATTCAACTCATGGTTACCTTCATCGGATTTTTTCAAATGCATAGATGTTCCCTTAACTGTTGGCATGATGGACAAGTAAGAATAATCGATATTCTTGTTTTATCGTTGGTTCTATCACTAAATGGTGGAAAATAAAACATTCAAATATCAGTGTATTTGATGAACATACGAATTCGATTGTATGCCTGATTTATAGAAAAATAATTTTATGACTCACTTTTTATTTCGTAAGAATTCTTATCGGTTTTTATACAGTGTTTGGCTTTGTCGTATATCATTTCTCAAGAGGTCTATTCAGCTATCTGAGTTTTATTTAGTTCTCCTCTTTGTTTCTCTTCAACGTAGTAGAAGAAAAAAAGCCTGCTTTTCAGATTTTCAGTTTGCTTAGAGATTGCTGTCTCATGTGAAATTATTTTCAGCAATCGTATAGTGAAATAGTGGTGGGTGATGGAGATACCAATGGCCTATTAGAGGCTATATACATTCACTTCAACGAGATATCGTTAAAATAAACACATCGTTTCTTACTACTATATGCTTGCGATTGAGGCCGACAGAGTGAGGGCGTGGATGTGTGGGTGTGGATGGGGTGTGGGAGTAAGTGTGGATGTGGGTGTGGGTGGGGTGTAGAGTGTGACTGTGGGTGTGGCTTGGATGTGTGGGTGTGGGTGTGTGGGTGTGGGTGTGGGTGTGTGGGTGTGGGTGTGTGGGTGTGGGTGTGTG